ACATCTCAGATGATGTTGCAGTAAACTCCCAGTGCTTTTGAGCTGCCTGCATATAACCTGTGATTAGGAGTACCACACTCAGGTGGGGAGGGAGAAAATTAACTGTTAAAACCAAACATTGTGAATAGAGTTGGTAGCCCAATCTGTGTATCTCTGTTTTCCCCCTCAACATAGGGCACAGACTTCAACCTCTAGGAGATGGTTCACAAGGTGGACAGATGGGTAGTGGAGGGGACGGAGAGCGCTGGGGCTCAGACAGAGGGCCCAGGGGCAGCCTCAATGAGCAGATCGCAGTGGTGTTGATGCGGCTGCAAGAAGACATGCAGAATGTCCTTCAGAGGCTGCACATGCTGGAGGCAGTCACAGCATCACAGGTATTGTTCATGGAAGTTATTTGATTACTTTTTATTAGATATCCTTGGGTATTTTTATGCTTTTTCCAGTTAAAATTTCAGACTATGAGATGAAGGGCAGTAAGTACTGTTCCTTAAATTGTCATACCTACAGTTTGCAAAGCTTCTGCAAGATGAGAAACTTCGTCTTTTCATTTTGTGAAAGAGAATAATTCCATGTGCAGTTTCCTTTTTGATACTTACCAGCTTTTGTTTGAATTTAAAGGCAAGATCTGCAACACTACAGTCAAATTATCAGCCTGCCTCCTCTGTTAAGGTAAAGTATTGTTTTTTCTGTTCGTATAAAGCAGTGTGAATGGTGAAAAGAATGAATTTTTTTTTGTTTAGCTTTTAGTATGTGCTTTTCGTATTGTCTCTCTCTTGACTAGGAGATAAAAAATAATTTGAGTCTAAAGAAACTATTTGATCTTTTTTTTTCAGGTCTGACTAGTATTTTCTGCTTTAATACTGTTGTGTTTGAAGTGTTCATGATGTAGATGTGGTATTCAGTATGTGCACAGATTGCTGATTGGATTTTTTTTCTGTTTTCCTCAGAAACCATCATGGTGGCCCTTTGAAATTTCTCCTGGTATTTTAGCTTTTGCTATTGTATGGCCATTTATTGCCCAGTGGTTGGTACATGTGTATCTTCAAAGAAAGCGAAGGTAAAGACTTGTATGTATGTGTGTATGTGCCCTATGGAATGCATTTCATCTGTTTAAACCATTATGTGGTATATTGTGTTATTAAGACAGGGCATAAAATACCACCTTTAGGCAAAAGAAGGTTTTGACAGTGTATCTGATACATCAGGTTAGTATCCAAATGGGGAGCTTGATAATAATTTCTTTGATAAATCCTGTTTCCTTGAGTTCTGTGATTCAGGACATGTCTTGCTTAATGTTCCATTTTATGTATTAGTGACTTACAGTTCTGAAGATACTAGGCCAAAGCAGATTGTACAGTGGAGTCCTTGGTGTGGTTATGATAGGATGGTGCATATTTCAGTCCTCAAAACTCAAGTCAAATGCACAACAGGAGAATTCTGGAAGGCAGTAGGAATGCCTTGCATTAGCTGAGAATTCTAGAGAGAGACATGTATAGTTTTATTTGCCTAGAAAATGTCTCAGCATAAGAATCCACAAATTGGTTAATTTGACTTTATACGTGATATGTTTTATATGCAGCAATTTAGGTTTAATTCATGAAGACGAAGAATAAATACTTTCAGTGATCATACACAAGTGGTTGAGGCTGGACAGCTTGGAGGTGTCTCCCTGACAGTCTTTAACCCTCTCCCAGTATCTTCCTGAGCCATTTTCCATGCTTCTGGACTCCCTGCTCCCCATGTGTCATGAGAAGATTGTTTCCTATCCAATCCTTTGTGGAGTCCCATCTGGCATCTGTTTCTTACTTAACATCTACTATAACCTTACTACAATATTTTTCTAATGTCTACTTTGACTTCCTTCAGCTGAAGGACAGTTGTACTCTCAACTTTTCTCAACTGTCTAAACAGCAGAGGATCAAGTTAATGTGCTCTAGTTGCTGCTTCTTACTTCAGTGCACACCTGACTTTGTTACCTTAGCATGTTCGTAAGTTCTTTCCTGTCTGCAAATAATCTGCATATGTGTAGATTTTATTAGCTTGAATTATTATAGCTTTTTTAGAGTTCGAAAGTTTTCATGGTATAGTTTTCTTTGATACAGTAAATCCCAGAAATACAGAATGGTTGAGGTTGGAAGGCACCTCTGGAGATTATGTGGTCCAACCTCCCTGTGTAAGTGGGAACCTCTAGAGCCAGTTTCCCAGGACTGTGTCTAGGTAGCTTCTGAGTATCTCCAAGAAGGGAGACTGCACAAGCTCTGGGCATGCTGTGCCAGTGCTCATCTCTCCTCATAGGACAGGTGCTCCAGTCCTTTAATCATCTATCTTCATGGCCCTGCGTTGGACTCTCTCCAATATGTCTATGTCTCTGTTGTACTGAGGAGCCCAGAACTGGACACAGCACTCCAGGTGTGGCCTCTCCAGTGCTGAGTAAAGGCGAAGGATCACTTCCCTCGACCTGCTGGGAGGGATAGTGCAGCCTGCAATACCATTGGCCTTTGTTGTTCCAGGGGCACGTTGCTGACTCACAGTCATCTTGGTGTCCACTAGGACACAGGTCCATTTCTGCCACACTGCTTTCCAGCTGGGCAGGCCCCAGCATGCTTGAATTGTTCCTCCCCCGTTGCTGGACTTTGCACTTCCCCTTGTACTTCATGAAGTTCCTGTCAGCCCATTTTTCCATCCTATTGAGGTCCCTCTGGATGGTAGCACCACCCTCTCCTGTGTCAGCTGCTCCCTCTGGTTCTGTGTAGTCTCCAGACTTGTGCTGGTGTTGCACTCTGCTCCAGCACCCAGAATATTAATAAACATGTTAAACAGGACTGGACCCAGTACAGACCACTGGTGTGCACCACTAATTACTGGCCTCCAACTAGATCTGCTGTCACTGATCACCACCCTCTGGGCCCAGCACATGCTGTTGTAAAAAAGGTGATGCCCACAAAGGCTTCAAGTCTGCCTGGGATTTACCCTGTCTGAAAGCTGTCATTACCAGCATTGATGTTACTTGCAGTGTCTGATGAAACAAGATATTTTGCTGCCAAGGCTTTTAGGCAGTTACACACATTTTCCTTCTTTTCTGCACTGGTAAATGGACATTTACATTTCATCAGCAAGGACAGAATTTTTTAACAGCAATACAAGTTTAGTACCTTATGGGAAGTTGCTGTGAAATGTGTTGTTTAGCTAACAGCTCTCAGATGGCCACATTCTCCCTCTCTCTCTGAGCAATATGCTGTTCTTGCAGACCTTCTTTATCATCTCTGCTGACCTCTGCAGTGCCCTCAGTTAATTCACAGGTTCAGTCAGAAATCAGGTTTTAGAAAAACACCCTTTCCAGCAGTTTTTCTAATGTATTCTAATGATTCAGAGCTTAAATGAACAAACAAATGATACTTCATTTTTAGTCTGGATTTGTCTGGATTCAGCCTTCATCCACTTGATTTTCCTAGATCTTTATCTGCTTGACAGAGAGCCCATGAATTTTTTCTGATGGGTACTTTATTGCTATCACCAGGTCATCTTTTGATCTCTTGCTTAAATAAAACAGATGGAGCAACTGGAATCTCATTTTAGTTTTTTTACAATCTTGGGATAGTTTTGGTGGATCTTTTCCAGACGTTCCAGAGTATATCAACATTGAGTTCTGGACACCAGGAGTAGGTAGCATAGTTTGCTAATGGTAATACCAGTATCTCTGTGAGACACAGACATAGGGCCCCAGACACTGTTTGTTTTGTTTACTCCTTCATGGATTGTATTAAGATGAGCTGAACTTCAAGAACAGAAACAATTGAAATGTCTGTATTCTTCAGCTTTCCTCTTTGTTTCTGAAGAAATCTGCCCATAGCCAGGACTTTGCATCACCTTGCTATCTGGAGTTCCATCTCCTTTAGCACTGGGTGGAAAGTTAATAAATCATGCTCAGAGATAATAAAAAAGAATTGCAAAACAAGACTCCTTCTCTGTTGTCCCATTGCCAGTTTCAGTCTGTACTCTGTTGTGTAAGCTTTTAGGAAACAGCTGTACACAGTGCATATATTGACCACATCTGTGTACTTTGGTTTTTAAAATAAACTGTCCTGGAGCAGAAACCAGGAGCCTGCTGATTAGAAGCTACCATGTTAGGCTTTCTCAGTCACGTTGTAGAGTCATGACTCCTGACCTCTTGGACAGTGGAGCAAATGCCCCAGAACTGGTGGAGAGAAGTCCTTCTGTAGCCAACAGCTTTGTGTTTAGCTCTTGTCCCTGGGATGGAGTAGCTCAGTTCACCCTTAGCACCCTGCTGTAGAGTGTTCTGGCTGGTTTAGGTCTTCTCTTATTCCTTTCTAGGGAGCTTAATGCTGAAAATTTGGGTACTCGTACTAGAGCCTTCACTGAAAAAGCTTGATTGAAAAATTTTAATTCTAAGGGCCCTAAAACCAGATCACAAACAGAAATATATTTTTAATAATAATTGTGAGCTGACTACACACTTTCTGTAATTCCTGGAGAACCAGCTCGTGTTGTTCTAATGTGAGTCATGTGGTCAGGAACTGTTCTAAGGGATTTCGTGTGCAGTTCAGAAGTCTAAGTGACACTTTGTGCTCCTTGGTGTAAGTTGTGCCAGTTCTGTAAACTTGGAGATCATTTTGTAACTTAGGAGGGCAAATTTTCAGGTATCTTGAAGCAGTGCTGTGTTTTAATGGGTTGGAAATAATTTGCATGTAACCTCAATTGATTATTTTTTTTTTAATTTAGACAAATGAAAAGTCATCTCACATGTGAAGGTACATAAAACTAATTATGTTTTTTCTTCTAGAAAACTGAACTGAGAATTTACTACTTTGCTTAAGGACTGCTAGAAGATGGCCCTGGAAAGCAAAGGAATTCTGAATTCTCAGAGGATCTCAGGATCTGGGATGATGTTCCTTCTATTATAGTAATATTTTGTACTACCTTTGAGCTAAACATATAAGGACTTACATTATTGAAACTTGAATGATTCACAGCTCCTAGGTTATAAATAAAATTAATTTAATAATTCCATCCTCAAAACCATAGGAACATTAATTACTTTGGAATGTGCTTGTGGATGGGACTTCAGTAATTACTGGTCTTGCTGATGTCAGATGATGAAGAGAATATCATACTTATAAAAGAATAAGTGAAAAACATAAAACTCACTTTAATATAGAAGTTATTCTACACTTAGAAAATCCCTGCCTGTTCCACATATTATCAGATGAGAGCAGTAGTAAGGTACAAATTCAATAAGCTGTTGGAAAAACACAATATAGCTCTGAGGAATTCAACCAGTTATATTTGCTGCTAAACCAGTGAGGGGCAAATTGGTCAGAAATTATTTTGAAATGCTTCACTTCAAAGACTGTAAGAGACTTGGGAATTGATACATGTCTTGCAAGTTAGAGCCATTAATAACAGCAACTGTTAAATGTTTGGAAAGTGTGTGGTACAAGGGATCCATCTAAAGAGGCTGCACCTTATATTTTACCTTTGATAACTGTATTCTTGTTGACAACAGCTTGTTAACTGAAATACATAGTTTAGGCACAAAGTGCTTTAAAATGAGATGAAAGCTCATTAGTGCTGTATTTCTCTAATATTTTAAAAAGCTCAGTGCACTGTAAATTCTGTTGTCAGTTTATGTAAATTAAAATAAGATTTAATCTAGCCCTTATCTATTGTGGACTTTTCCCAACTCGCATTAGGTAGGAAAAATATCAGTTCTAGTGTTTCTCTCTGTTACCCTTCTACTTCCTTTCATTTTTTTGAAATTTACAGCTAATCTTGGTGCTGATTTTTTTTTCCCATGGAGTATTTATTAACCAGGATACAGAGCTACAACCTTGTGAAGTTTGCTTGATTAAAGCATGCTTTACACTTAATTTTAAAATAAATTAATATGTAAGTTGTCTAAATCTCTGGAAAAGGAAAGGAAAGGAAAATCAGTTTTCTGACAAATGTGAAGACATTCATTTGTTCTAAAGAATTACATGATAACATAACCTGCCTTCAAGGTCAGAATTTTTGCCATATTATTGACGTGCTTTCGTTTTCCACCTGGACATATTACATATTACAAATAATTCAGGAAAGTTATATATACCCTTCCTAAAAATCTTAGTTTGGAAAACATTTTTCTTACAAGCTATACTGTAAAAAAAAGTCACAAAATTTAATGTTTTTGTTACCAGAGCAATTTTAATGTTCTTAGTTAAGTGTGGGCTTTTAAAAGAATTACTTTTCCCCCTCTTCTCATTTTCTTATTGTAAAGCTGAATTAAAAATGATCAGAAACTTCTGAAGATTCCTGTAACAGTCAGTTAAGTTTCATGTGCCAGAGATGAGCTTTGGCATAAGACCAACTGAAAACTCAGGCTTGAACAAAGCTTAGGTTGGAAGTTCTGCTGTGCCCTGAAAGCCATTGTGTCTGGTTCTTGGAGTTCCTGGAGTGATTGACTTCTTATCATAAAATGGTAGAAATTACTTTACAGGAAGGATGCTTTAGCTTGAAGGTCACTTTAAAAAAAACAAACCCAAACAACTTCTGCCATCAGCACATCTTCTGACAGGACAAAGCACCCTCGAGTGCCTCCCCCAGTTGATAATCATTGTAAATGTAGGTGTCTACTTCAGAGATACTGCAGTCTCAAAAGATACTTAACTTTTAACTTCCCTCCGAGATAACTGTAGACATGTGCCATCCTTGTTATTTATTTATGTTTCAATAAATCAATCCCTTAATATTTTGCATTTCATCTTGAACTTTCTTACTGTTTAGCAAATGCTGTACAGGGGATGCTTTGGCTGTACAGAAGAGCCTGCTGGCTCCCTTAGGAAGCAGTCTCAAGCTATAACACAAACACAACTCTTCTGTAACCATTCACAAGTAAATCAAGCTGGGTCTCAGCTGCTGGGGTTGCTCAAACTCACCATAAGTTGAACAGATTTCTACTTCACTCAGATTTTGTCTTAAAGAAAAAAAAAATATTTTTATAATTATTTTTGCAATTTGTCCAGGTACAGAGAGAGAGTTTTAACTTAAGAAAATGTGGTATAACAATCACTGTAGCTCTGAACTGGGATGTGTTGTTCTAATTCATGCTCTCTCCAGGAGGCCTGGCAGTCAAAGCAGTTCTGCACAGCACTGAAAGATCTAGGCCCAGCTCAAAATTGCACTTGGGAAGCAAATATCCAGCTGGTTTCCTGCAGTGAGTGATGAAACTAGATGGAAGACATTTCACCTACTGCCAGGTGTTCAGCTTAGGGAACCAGCTCAGAGCCAAGTACAAGTGTGTGGGGGGGGCAGCTGTGCTATCCTCAGGACCCTCTTTCTCTCCTGCTCTGGTCCTGAGGTGGCACAGGAAGTGCTGATGGAGATGGGAGCCACTGTCTTTTCTTTGACTTTCTAGCTACCACAGAAGAGCTGACTCCCCACAGGAGTTGCAGACCTTCTAAGGACTCTTTGGTCTGCTGCCACTTAATACAGAAATGTAGCCTGTAATAACAATTGCAGGAGAGTATGAGTGTACAGGCCTGTATTAGACAATATTGGGTCTTTCC